TATATTATTTAAATAAACGAGGCGACGTCGCCGAGGCGATGCGACGTCGGCTTTTTAAATAAATAAATAAATATATATATATATATATATATAATATACCGAACGGTATACCGCTCGATATACCGTTCCGTACAGTACCGAGCGAACGTCGAAACGCCGATACGATACGATATTTCGAATCTTGCTAAAAAGTACTTGCATTGTAATGTCAAAAATATCCAAGAATATTGCAATTATCCTAGACAATGCTAGGATTACATTTTTCACATTCGTGGCTTCAGATTCCATACTACCTGATGTAGATCAGTCATGTAAGATGTAATTTTAAGCTTGAAAAGCAACAATTAAGGTTGTTGACTCAGCTAAAGATAAAAAGTTGTAAATGCATTCCACCAATTCTAATAATGATTATGGCAGCAAAATGCCATACCTGTCGTATAAATGTTGATTTGCCACCCATATTAGGTCCTGTTATGATCTGAAACCAGCTCTTTCCACGGACCTACATATAACAAACCAGAGAAAATAGAGTTACAAGAAAAATCAATTAATAAATTGGGTAAGGATATTCTGCAGGTATATGGAGCGCTTACGAGTTTACAATCATTAGGAATGAAATTCACACCATCCTGAGCCTCCACACAAGGATGTCTGCTTCCTTCTAGTATAATATCCCCTTGATCCTGCAGGTATGTTATAACAATATCATCACATGTCCCTTTTAAGGGACATAAACAGAATCAGCACAAAAATGTCTCACCGAGGGAGTAATATCCGGTCTAACATATGGAATAGGACAACTGGTTGCCAAGTCAGCAAAGCTCAGCAGAACATCTATCTCAGCTAGAATTGCTGCAACAGCTTCAAATACCTTTCATAACAGGTCAAACAATTCAGACTGAGATACTTTACTTATGATAAACTTTGAAATATCAGCTTAAGTACCTCAGAAAAAGTAGCTGAAGTATCAACTACTCGAGCAACAATCCCTTTCTGGCAACTCGTGTAATCACTCAGTAATTTTTGGTACTGATCTCCCAACTTCTTTAACTTGGTATTTGTAAATTTTATACCATCCTTCCGTGTTTCTAGGACAATATAATGGTTAGTAAGCTTTTTTCTTACCTTTTGTTCCTCTTTCTTTGTGATCCTAAAAGCATGTCCAAACTGTGTTCCTTTCTCCAACTTCAATGCCTTATCAAGAGAAAGATCAAGATCATTTGCTGCTTGTTTATGCAAGTCATTTATTTGTTGTTCTATGGCAGTGAGCTCATTCTTCAGTGCAGCTAAGTTTGGATCATAACCAGGTGATATCATGTATTCGCCATTCTCAAGTTGATCAAGATCAACAGAGACTTCAACAAGAGCAATGAACTTATTTAGCCTTTCCTCATCCATCCAAAAATTTAAGGGCTCTGAATACCTTTTCCTTATCAGTGATGAAAATTGTCCTTCATAATGCTCCAGCACATCTCGGATGTATGGCAGTCTGATGCTTGACTACTCATGGAAGACAATTTGACACAAGAGATAGTTATATAATAGATACAAACCGAAAAGTAAATAAAAAACAGTAGAGCCAATAACCAAATATTCATTTTAAATAGGGTATTTTCAAAGAAGTCAAAGGCATGATAAATATTTACCTGATACAATTTTATGACTGGTGGCAAATTAGCTGTTTTTTTCTTCAGAGCATGTGTCAATCGTTCAATATCTGAAATTCTCTTCAGATGTTGCCTTAACCCTTGGCGAAGCTCTGGATCCTCCACAAATGCCTGAACCAAATCTAACCTATGAATGATCTCATGTACATCAAGCAATGGTTGCTTGAGCCACCTATTAAGCAACCGTTTGCCCATGCCAGCAGTACATGTTCTATTCATCAGACCAAACAAACTAAAGTTTTTATTTAAATCTGTTTTGCTCTCAAGGACATTTAGTGCTCTCATGGCAGCATAATCTAATCTCATGTAATTATCTAAATTGTACTTTTCAATGGTAAAGTTTCCATAGTTGCTATCATCTGCAAGCAATTCCACATAGGATATCAATGCCCCTAGGGCACCCAGTGCATAATCAAATCCAGAAAGCAAATCTCGAACGGGTTCAACTGACCCTCTGATGATCCTACCAAGATCCTGCACCAAATCTCTTGACTTGAACTCATATTTCTTTCTCTCTGTAAGAAGAACATTACATCTGGACAGTGAATTATAAAGAGGTTTAAGTTCTGTTGACCTTCCACATTCCACGGGTAAAAGGCATTCCTTACAACCAAGAGCAATCAAAACTGATTCAGTATTTGTAAATTGGCTATCATCAAGGAACTCAACTGTACCGAGTTTCCTTTTGGTCATATCCACAAAACCTAGTCCCACAGTGCACTGATTTTCACGGAAGACAGGAAACAATGCAACTGTAACTGGGGAATCCTGCATGTCATTGTTGGCAAACAAAATATCTTCAAAACTACCAACATTTCCAGGTGTTCCTGTTTTCGTCAAATTCCAGTTTGATCCACTTCCTTCATATAGCTCTAATGTGTGATCTGTCCTCTCCAGCAAAAGATCACGAGCAATAGCCTCAAACATGTTTTTATTTACACTAACACTAGAAATTCCCTCTGAACCACTACCTAATTGTCTCAAAGCAGTAGTTGTGTGGTAATATGTCCTTGCAATAAATGTAGCATTTTCACCATGAACAGTATAATAATCCTGGTAAAGTACAGCTCAAAAATTAAAGGTGGAGTTATAACAAATCTTCTGACAAAATAATCTAAATAGCTCGAGTAGTTCCGAAATAGTACACTATATTCCTATGCCAATATAAAATGCACACGTAGTAATAAGTGACAAACTAGAGAATCTTGTATCATTTGTGAGTACAAAAATTATATATATAATATTATATATATTATTATTATATATAATATATTATATGTATATTATATATATACATATATTTATTATTATTATTAGATTATATATCCATCAACACCATCCAAGACAGTTATACAACATGATACATGACACAAAGTTAAGAAGGTTCCATTGGAGTTTGAATAAAGTTTTTTTAACTGGCTGCCAATTTGACATTAAGGTTGGTGCTTATTTGGAATAAAGCAAAGATATTTATGTGCCATGTTGAGGTAAACCAAGCATAGACTGATATGACACATATGCTTTAACCAAATGTGGTTAAGACCAAATCTGAGATCCAAGACACGAAGGTGGCCTTTGTTAAGTGTATGATACGATTCACACAGGGCTTGTGGTCAATATGAATGATTCCTTGGATTACCAAACAACAATATGAAAGATTTTGTTTTCCTAGTTCTCTTCTTCCCTTGAAGTGGAATTTAAATAATTCCTTATTGCCTCGGATACCAATGGGTTGAAACATCAATAAATACCTTTGTTGGTCATGCCTCACCCTCCATTACAAGTTTTTGTCCATGCTGATGATTGTGGTTCACTCCACTAGTCAACTTGAGGAAGAATTTATCTAAGTGGTAACTAATAAGGGATGATCATCAAGCATTCCATTGATCAAATCAGGGTCAATCTTCCTGATTTATCAAGTATCTTATCTCCTTCAGGTTGTCTTGATTTGCTACCGTTACATCAGAGAAACTAAATGAATTCTTTCAATACAGTAGTTGATAACTTGACAATGGTATAACATGTATGGGAATAAACAGTAGCTGTGTATGAAGTCAACCATTGTTTAAGGACCTAATTTCCTTGTACATGAAGATAACACTGTGATTAAGGGTTGCCTTCAATCTATGCAACACATATCAAGTGGTCTGATGACTTCTATGGCAGTGAGTGAGACTTGAAAAACACAAAAGTCCTAACCTGTTATAAAGTCGATGCCATGGTTTTAGTAATGTTGAACTAGTTGGTTTCATCATTGAAATACTAATTTCCACCTGTACCCCAATCTGTTCAACCCTCTCTCTCTCTCTCTCTCTCTCTCTCTCTCTCTCTCTCTCTCTTCTTGAATGTGTATGCTAGCTTAGTTGGTAAAGACTTTAACAGTTTATAGCAATAGATCGAATCTCACATTCGCTATTTACCCTTTAAAAAAAAAAGTTGTTGAAGAGTAATGATATGGAATATAAAATGTCATCACACATACTAACTAAAGAGCTATATTGGTAAATTGATGATGAATGAAAGTTTCTAAGTAATCCTTTGGTATTTTAAAGATAGGAAAAACTATGCTCCATTTATGCACTTACCTGATTGGACAGTCCGATCATGGTGTTTTGTCCATAGACATTTACATTTTGCTAAAAATTAATCCAGATATATGGTGTCTACTATTCATTCAGGTTTCAAGGTGTGACCAGACAGACTTATTTGCACATGAGAAAGTGTGACTTCCATCCATGTAGTAAGAGAATGACAGTGGTATGGAGACTTCGCATTATTATCACAGAGAAACATGTCAAGTTTATTTTCAGATGTTCCTTGCTGTGTCACTTACTGTTACATGAAAACAGTGGCTACAAAAGATACTAAATAAAGCACTAGAAGAGAGCGTTATCTGAATCCAACAAATTGCAAAAACAATTGGCTAAGGCAAGGTCCACACAACAAGTAACGAGAAGAGCATAGCAATGAGGAGTAAGAACTCGTCAAAACAGGAAACAAGTTAAAGCTCGCGATTTGGAAGGAACAGCCTCCAGATGTCTCATCCCTGAGTGAAAAGATGTAAAGGCTCATGTTGCAAACGAACTCACCCGGCGATCAAAGAAGCGCACGGCCCTGGGATCCTACAAGAACAAGAACCGGCCCATGTTCAGTTGGCTAATAGGGTTTAGCAAAAAAGCCAGATGAAGGACAACAAGGCAAGAAAGCGTACAGCGGGAAGGGCTTTGAAGAAAGATATGAAACCCTGCGCCTGCCTGGCATCTGAAGCCCGAGAACCAATAAACCATCAAAAGCAAAGAAGAAGGAAGATGAAAGGGGGATCAAGAACCCGCAGAAAAGAAATACCTAATTTGAGCTCGGGCAATTTGTTGGCTGCCGGCGAATCGCTAGCCGTCATTTTTCTCTGGCACAGAAGCGAGCAGTTTGGGGGCACAGAGAAGGGGGGCGGGGGGTGGGGGTTTCCTCAGGCCGTCATCGGCAACATATATCTAGCAATCGACGACGCACCGCTGGGAAATCGCGCTGTGGCGGGAAAGCTCGGCGGAGAGGGGACGAGAGAGATGGCATCGGGATTCGCGTTAAGTCCGGCCCGTCCGAGGTGGCCAGGCTTTTAATGGGCCATTTCGAAAAGTCCGTGGGCCGAGGCCAGAATGGGCTGCTTTGCCGGGCTAGCATAGAAGAACCTGAAACTATGTAGTGGCAAACTTGCAATATACAGATAAACTAATATGGATTATTACTGGATTGTGATTTTTATTTTTATTTTTCCATAAATGGATAAGTGGTAATACGATAAAGTCTTTACGAGCTAACCTAACTCACACGTTCAAGATTTAAATTCTGATAAATCCTAATATACATTGTCATCGGATTAATATTTTAGATATAAAAATTTATCGAATGAATTTTCAAACCATCCATAGTGATAAATGAGTCTGATATATCGCTGTTTTAGATTGATGGTGAAAGCAAACAAATAGAATATACAAGGAATAGATATTGATCGTCGACGACAGTAGTCATAATACAAACCCAAAGCCTTCAAACGTATCCATCATGCATTAATCGCTCCATAATAAAAGACAAGCCGTGCCGTGCCGTCCCGGTTATGCATGTGTGTGTAACGTAGAATACAACGACAGAGTTCCCAATGCCAACACGAACGTGAAGAAACTTGTACGTGTGCTTCTCTTTCTTCTTGCTTTGGCAGGGATTGCACAGACTCGGCAGGTTGGAGTTCCAAGTTGCCAAGGTAGCATACACACAGACAAGCAATGAAGAAAGCGTACAGGTTGAAGCGATTATTCGTATCATTCGAGCTTAATGAACACTTCCAGCTTCAAAGAATGGGATCAACCAACAAGATGTCGATCGCTCACCACCTACAGGGACATCATCGCTCAGTGGTGCAACGGGTTCGGCCCGGTGGGGACGACTCGCTTCTCCGCACCGTACCGAGGGTCGATCTCGTCGCCACCGGGTTGGTCCGCGGATGAATGCGTAGTTTGCTTGCGATGATGGTGGTGAGGGCGGTGACGGTGGTGATGGCGATAATGGCTGGTGTGGGTGAACGCCGAGGGATCGAACTTATAAGACACCAGCAGCTTCCGGGGGACTGACGAGGGACTGCTCCGCCGCCTGGACCTCAGATGGCTCCACCCGTGAATCAAGAGCAAGAGGATGGTGAGCCAGAGGAGCCCGACAAGGGCAGACCTCCTCAAGGCCATGGAGGAGGGGGTGAAGGGTGGAGGAGAGGGGGACAAGTCATGGATAACGAGATCTAGAGAGAAGGGTTCCTGTGTGTGACAGCTTGACCTGGGTAGTCCGGAGCGAGAGGTATATGAACTCGGGAGCTGCATTTGCTTACTCGTGACTCCATCAATTGGGTTTCTTTAAATGCGTTCGAGTCTTTTGGGGCCTCAGAATGCGGGGAGTCGGGAAGCAGGAGCTACACATTGGTCGTCCCTTCTGCCACCGAGCTTCCTTGACGTTGAAGAAAGACAGCGGAGCGTAGTCATCGGTCGAGCCTCGACACATGCTTGCTGATGGGGCAACCATGGCTTGAGAGAGAGAGAGAGAGAAGCTGGTCGGTCGACTACGGGGTAGAGGTGCGGGTTCTCAGGCTGTGATGTCAGTGCATTGGGGTTGAGGGTGGACTTCTCCTTCGAGGAGTATTGCTTCTCGCTGCTTTGCTTGGAAACTACTCTTGAGAAGCACAAGTTGCATGGATGTTGGAAATATGATCAATTGTTCAGCTTGATCTTGAAGAGATTTAAACTCTGCCAAAGTGATACCCAAAGTTCTTTAAGCTAAACTAAGTAAGTTTTTTCATTGAGAACATTTGATAAAGCAGAATTAATGGATAAATTATAAATTATTTAATGTAGTTAGTTACTTTTACTAATAGTTATATTTTCAAAAATTATATGGAGATTTATATATTTATGAAAGTAAAACATTTAATTTCATTGTTCAAATAAAACCCTTCACTCTTAATATTATATATAGATCTAAATATTTTATTTTCCTAAGTATAAAGATCCTAATATAATATTTGAAAGATCGAAATGCTAAAAATAATTAATTATAAAGGATAATATATAATTAATCTCAGTATTAATCAAAATTTGAATGAGAAACTAAAAGTGTCAAAAATATAGTAAATGTATAAACACAATCAGATACATGCAGACACCTTTTAGTTGTAGGAAGATTTTGATAATGATAGACATGTTGTTCCCATAGCAACACTCTTAGACTGACTTTTCATGGTGTATTCTATGTTGCTTGGCCACGAGATTTATGCTAATGAAGACTGTTGATTGAACAATGGTGGACACCTTGACGTTACAATTGAAATCAAATCACTTAAAACACACAATATTCAGAATTTTAGTGCTAAGAGCATGACAGACAGACAATGCTAACAGAGTCCTAATGGAATGTTGTACATCATTTAAACACACCAAGGGATAGATGACCAGTAACGAGGACTAAAACACACATCATACCAGTTATCAGCGTCGCCGCGAGGAGAAACTGCTTCCTTTCTAACCTGGAATGATCATGCTGGAGTCAGCATTTATGATAGTCTTCCCTTCCCATGTTTCTCTCAACAATTTTATCAGAAAGGGTGCTCAAGATGCACTCCTTGATCTCTTTGAACTGCTCCGCAGAAACGGATGCCACCTCGTCCAGGAACCTCCATAGTGTATCTTCAGATGTTTCCTGGTAATCCTTCCTTCGTTTCACCACCATGTAGCCACCGAGTTCCCATGCTGCTGGATTAATTTGCATTTCAAGAAACTCCTGGTTCACTTCTCCACGAGTTCGTTTCTCAGCGTAACACTAGCGAATTCATTTTGATATACAAGATGGTGAATAAAGCATTAGGAATTAATGCAAATACAAACAAATCTTTAAATCGAATTGCAGCAGACTAAGATTACCTGCAGTAGGAGGAATATTCGTTTGCCAGCATCAGATATGATGACATTGTAGGGGATGTCATTATCCTGTAGGAAAATGCAGGCTATAGAGACAGCAATTGATAGATCCTCCAGGTTGCTTCCACCTCCAAAAACAAGACCTCTTACAGGATAATGTGAGAGTTGAAAGATCTCTACCCCACTTGCCAGAGTCATAATTCTTTGAGTAGGAGCCTTTTCAACTGGGAACGCTCCCACCAGGTAGAAAGCCTGACATCACAAAGTCAGCCAAGAAAAATATAAAGTTCACCCACGAGTTCGAATAAAACACCAACAGTTGTATCAATAGATCAGCAACCTGAAAGTGGAGGTGGTTAATGGTCGCAAAGGCACCAAGACTGTTATAAGCCACTCTAAAGTGGGGAGTTTCAGCCTCTCTTGCCACGTACACAGCAAGTGAGAAGCTCTGTTCATCAAGCCTTTGAGGTAAGCAGTCCAATATGCGAGGAATCAGGAGTACATGACCATAATCTATTGGGCTGACCTGCAAAAACACAAGTTCTCATAATGTTTAGTTATATATATCAGATAATAGTATAATCAGTAGTAGCAGCCAAACGATATGCACATTGATGGCAACAACATTAGGGGATTCCGAATCTGCGATTGGAGTATTTTCAAAAAAACCCCTGTCGTCATTCTCACTCTCTTCAAATCTAATTAGCATTTCCTCTTGAGCAATTTTTGTGAAGTTAAACTTTTTCCCATCAAAGGGTTGCAGAACTCTATCGATTCTGAACTCAGTTGGTCTTTTCTTGAGGTCACGCCCTTCAATTAACTGTAAAATAAAACCATAATCTCCTGAAAGTATCTGCAAAGAAAAAAAAAGGACATCCAAGAATATTAACATCACAAAGGTACCCAAAGTGATCGATTCACCTCATGAGAGCAAAGAACATCTTGACCTTGGTTTCATAGGCATTGACATCATGATGGAACAGCCCTCTAACCTTGCGATCCTCCCACTACAATAACATGTAACAGAATTAAGCTCATTTGCAGAAAATCCATATCATTGACATCTAACTCCTCTACCTCTTTAAGAAGCCTATCAAGGAATGTGGACTGAGCCTCAATCTTCTCCAATGAGCAACCAGAATCCTTTTCTGCCTTGCTGAAATAATAAAGAGGAAGCCTGATCCCTATCCAATGAACTCAACCATATCAATTTCAAACATTTAGTACTCAGAACTCTTAATAAAACAGTTTAAAAATAAGCAAACCGAACATACTAAGAAATCTGGCTGTGGCTTTTCAACAAACATATGATTTGCATTGTCTGGTAGCAGATTGAGTGCATGCATGTCACAGATCTAGTATAACTCACAATCTGGTTATTTGGTTCCATAAAAACTAGGTTAAATTTTCAATACGATGCAGGAAGTCGGGAAATCTCACTGCAAGATCCAAGAAAAGCATGAATCATGAACACCAGAATCCTACATTACAATCGCCGGGGAGTTCAGGAAGCACATATCAGGTCGGCAACAAGAACTGCAACTTCTGATTGACCAAAGCTACAATGCATTCGACTCCAACGCCTGATATGGAAAAGTATAGGCAGTACATTTTGGGATGGGATGCAGGGAATTACCTTGAAGGAGACAGCTGCGGCCGCTTTTCTCCTCGCCATGTTGCCCCTGAGTGGGTTGGTAGACAGACATCGCCGAGACTCTCACTCCCACTTCTCCGTCTAGATGGCGATAAGGTTCTATATGTATAATACAGTATACATTATCTTGGTGAGGCCAAGCCCATGTTCTTGTCGCAGATGAGAACACATTGTTCAAATGGGCCTCCAAAATACAAGATATCAGTAGTAAGAGTGTGAGGAAAGAAGCCTCCCACAACTAAGCCAAGGCAATGCCGACGAGTGCTTCTTCCCCGCCAGCGACAAGTGCTCCCATTCCTCCTCTGAAGAAACCGCCTGATCCTCCTCCTCCCCTCCCCCCCTTCTCCTGAGCTCCTCCTCCAAGGCCCCGCTACTGAAGGGGCATCTCCCTCTTCGGGAGCAGCCTCTTCTCCCCTCGACAAAAGCCAAACTCGCACTGCTACCTCCTTGCAAGCGCATAAAGTCTCACCCTTTTGGGCAAGCCTCCTCAGGCAATCCTCTTCAGATGACCCTTGGCGTTTCGACACGGAGCGCGGTCCTAGATCCAGAGGAAGTGCAGAATGCAAGGAGTCACTGACAACTCTACAATTTTTTCGGCAAAGCACGCCCTTTGGAGTTCATCAAAGGTAAGCTTCCGGCCTTGTGGAAGCTACAAGCAGATGTCCAGGTCATTGATCTTGCGGCAGGCTACCTGTGTTTCCGATTCCAGTCGGAGGCTGACCTGACGAACACTCTTACAGGGGAGCCATGGTTCCTCCGCGGACATGCTCTCAACCTCTTCCCAAGGAGAGCAAACTTCCGACCTTTGAAGGAAAACGTAAAGTCTGCCCCCAATCTGGATCCATTTTCCTAGCCTCCCCATTGAACTGATGTACCATCGCGTTCTCCTCCAAATCGCCGATAGCATTGGATCAGCCGTCAAAGTTGATGCTGTCACCACCTCTGGAACTAGAGCGAGGTATGCTAGGGTTTGCATCATGCTTGACTTCTCCCATTCCATCCCTCAAGGAATCTGGGTTCGAATAGGTGATTCTCATTTCTTTCAATCAGTTACGTATGAAAGCCTATCCAATTTTTGTTTCACCTGCAGGCTTGTTGGCCATAAAATCGATCAATGCAACCAAAGCAAGCTGCCGGAGCAAACGGCCGCCCCTGGCAAGGATGCCGCAGGTGGGCATTGGCTCTGTTACAGAGATTGGCACGAACCGAGAACATGGCCTACTGTACGGGCCCTGGTTCAAAGTCCAACACAAATCCTGTTACAGTAGCCGTTTTGGCGCAACATCGGTCCACTCCAGCGCCTCACCTCAGCCCACTGAACCCGCTCCGGCCACCTCGCAGCCTGGTGAATCCCGTACCAAACGGGCCTTTGCTTTCTCCTGTTTCCCGCCATCCCGTTCCATCTTCGGGTCACCCTTTCAAACCAGCATTAAACCCCGATGGTGCTTCCCCAGATTGTATTAGTTCTTCCCCTCCTTTCCAATACTGCGTCATTGGAGATGCGCCCCTCCACCCTGACATGCCACCGGTGCTAACGTCTTAGGATGCCGCCTCCTCGACTGCCACACCCTCCTTTGTAAAGGGACGACAACCCCTCGCCCACCCTGCAAACAAGCACAACCCCGTTTCCTCACGCTTCTCTAGATGTCATCGCCTCGCCCCATTTCCTCACCATTATCCCTCAACCCACATTCTCTAGATGGAGTAGTTTGGCCGGCTCAAGGTCGGTCTGGTGGAATCATCGTCGCTTGGAACTCCGGTACTCTCAAAGCTTCCCCTGTTAGTATCTCACAACAATCTTTGCACTTAATGGTGGAATAGAGAGGTACGCACCCCTGACCTCTCTCAGCAGTCTACATAATTACTGATGCTTCTCAACGCAATGCTCACTGGCGTTTTCTTTCGAATTTTGATCTCTCGGATCTACCTTGGTTGATTTGTGTGGATTTTAACTGTCTTAATTCTACTTCTAATAAACTGGGGGGTGATACACCCTTCTTATCCTGTCTTTTCTAGACAGATTCACCTGAAAATGGCTTGCTAAAGCCAAGATCAATTGTCTCAGGGATGATGATAAAACACCAGCTTCTTCCATAACACAATCAGACAAAGGAGATCTATTTATATTCACCACATTAAGAGGGAGGATGGATCCATGGGGGAGGACTTGGCCTCTATATCCTCTGTTTTCACTGACATGATCTCGCTCTTGTCTCTGCAAGAGTTCGTATTCTAGACCTTTGTCCAATGAAAGTTTTGTGTTTTCGTTTTATGTTTCATCTTTTATACCAACTCTCTTTATATGGCTTAGGTTATTCATCAAGTTACACTCAAGTTGTTCCGTTCCTTGACTTGCATTGAGTTATGATGGTTCTTGCGGTCATCATTTTATGGCTCAGTTATTTGTTGAGTCTGATCTCCATTTCGGCTTCAATTGTGTTTTCATTTGTATTGTCCTAGATCGCTCCTCACTTGATCTTGTAATGTATTATCAAATGCGAGATCATTATCATAATCTTGTTAACTGGCCGACCCTCCCCAGACACTCACCAATCCTTTCGCCTTCAATGAATTCCATCTCACCTTAATGGGCATGGGATGAGCCCTCAGCCCCTCGATTCATCATGCTTTCAATGAGATTCATACCACATCCACCCTTCCTTCTTGGATCAAAATTAATCTGGTTTTCATTCCCTAAATCCCTAATCCTTCCGAGGATTCAAACTAAAACTCATCTCTCTCTGCAGTATCCTTATCTAAAGAATAGACTCAAGTTCCTTTTTGATTTGGTTATTGAACAAAATCAATTTGCTTTCAATACTGTCATATCCATCCGCAATAACATATCAATCGGATATAAATTGGCCCACTCCATGTTTCTCTCCCGGATCCGTTTCAGTATCTCATTGACCATCTTCTCATTTTTGATAGATAGAGATTCCCTTCAAATTGGTTTAAAAGCTCCAGGGTTGAGGCAGGGGTCCCTCTCTCTTCCTCATGGTCTAACAAAACCTCACCAATATGCTTGAGGAATTTGTAGCTAAAAAGATCACATCTTATCATGGTTTGCAATATCGTACCATACCACTCGATACAGGTGGTACGTATCGATCCAATAGAGGATTGATATGGGCAGTACGTCAATACACTTTAGTGTAGCTATCATGCCGATAGCTGATCGGTATACCGGCATGGTATGGTATTTAGAATCTTACCTCTGACGACATTAAAGGGGTAAGATCTTTCACCTTATTTTCCAAACCTCATTAAAGGCCTCAACATCTATTCCTCCATAACTGGACTCCAAATCAACGAGAGTAAGTCAGCTGTCCTTCCCAAGTCCTGTAGTCCTGATACCAAATATAGGAATTGCAACATCCTAGAGATTAGAGAGAGAGATCCTGGCCTCTAAACAGTCTGGGAGCTTACGTCCACTTCTGTCGGTTCCCTATCAGGTTTCAGGACCTTCTCACCCAAAAAGCTCTCAATAGATTCAATGATTGGAATTGAGGGGCCTGTGATATCACAAGCAGGCAAAACTATTCTAATTATTCCCTTGCACATGCTCATGATTATCTGGATCTCTGATAAACACATATATTCTGTTTCTAAATTCTCTTATTGCTTTTTCCTGGAACGCTTATCAGTCTCACAACAAAATATCCCTCCTCAGTTTGAACCGCATCACCGGTCCGAAAGCTGAAGGTAATCTAGGAATTAGGGAGATTAAATTGATCAAAACCACTATCTGCACCAAGAAACTTCTACCCCTTCCTAACAACTCTTCAGACCTTTCAGCTAGACTCCTATCGACCAAATATAGTGTCATTCACCCATGGCAGACACCCAACAGCAAGAAAAACCATCGCAACGTCCTCGACAGATCCAAGCTGGGATTTAGGAAAATCCTCAATCTGGAACGACCCTTGAATCACTAATAGTCTCCTCTCCTACTGTCTTGCATTCATTAATCGGGACACTCTCAACTCATATCGGTGGGTTAGTGATCTCATGAACAGTAGTAACATTTGGAACATCAGCCTATTTGATTCTCTCTTTAGCCATGAACTCACCCAGGCCATCCTCTCCATATTCCTCCTTTTCAATCCCAATTATTATTTATGAGTCTTCCTACTGGCTTGGGTGGATGGTGATGTAGCTACCTGTGATTCCTCGAGTCAAAAATTTTCTTTGGAAGCTCCGGTGAGAAAAAAAGCTCCCCATCTCTGAATTCATTGCCCTTTTCTTGCATAATTATATATCTACCTCTTGCTCTTGCAACTCCAGTCAAGATTCGGTTAAACTTAAACATATCTTCGTAAAATGAACTACTGGCATCTTGCTAGCTCCAAACTATCTTACAGCTTTCGTCTCTTTTGGCTTTTGGAGGAAGGGGATGAGCTTGACTTTCACAAGGACTCTTATTGCAAATTATCTTTGGCTTATTTGGAAACATATGAATGAAACCAAATCATCCATTCCCCCTTCACTTCACTCTTTATTGAGATAGCTCTTTTCCTTCTCTGCAGGATCAAGAACCCTAGTGGCAGGCACTTCCTCCTCCACAACACTGAAGACGTCAGAGCTGTCTCACTGCATAGGCTCAAAGATCCTTGAAGTCTTCGCGGATTCTATGACCCTTGGGAACATCCCAACCAAACGTTCCAACATCCTGTACCCCTTCTGCAAGGATATTTTGTACTTGGCTTCTGCTGTGCATGTCACTCACTGTAGTCATATCAGCAGAACAATCAACACAATAACTCACAGCATAATTAATTTTGCCAGACTGGCAATTCTTTTATTTTTCTTAGAGGCGACCCACCACCACCACCACCACCTAATATCCTGTGTGGTTTCTTTTTAGACAAGTAGGACCCACTGACGTTAGTGATTGACGAGGCATGTCGAGTGTATTATTTCTTTCAATCATGACAATCATTATTTATCGTATCATTTGTACTTCGATTGTAACACCGATGTACTCGTAATTCAACCGTGTTATTTTACCTGTCACCATCAGAATTACGTTCCTAATTATCCCACGTCATCTTAAGTATTATTCCGATCACTATCAACCCGTGAACGTTATCCAATAATCCGGACGCTGAGTTGTAGTGATGTGATTCATCCAAATCACATGTCTGATCTCCGAATTCTATCCCAGCACGGCACGCCACGTCAAAAGAGAAATCGAATCATTGTTCTGCGGTGGGTTGGTAACTAACGCCGCGCCGTACGGTTCACGAGAGCCGTTGGATGGCGTCCGTTCACGTGAATCCATCGGTCGGTCGGATCCACGAAAAGGAACGCGTCTCATAATATCTCCGCTGTAGCTGCTCAATTATTGGACCATTCTTTAGCCGCAAAAAGACAAATAGAGACGCAGCAGAGAGCGCAGTTAACTTGCGGCAGGTCGATACCGACCGACCGCTATATGAGCACGACATGAAGTGAGAGGAGGAGGAGAAGAAGAAGAAGAAGAAGAAGAAGAAGAGAGGGAAGGTACGGATGGCTATGATGTGGTCGTCAGCCTCCGCCACCGCCGTCACCACGCTGCCGACGAGGCCCATCCCTGGAAGCTACGGCCCGCCGCTGGTGGGCCCCCTCAAGGACCGCCTCGACTACTTCTGGTTTCAGGGACCGGAGACCTTCTTCCGCAGCCGGATGGCCACCCACAAGAGCACCGTGTTCCGCACCAACATGCCCCCCACCTTCCCCTTCTTCGTTGGAGTCGACCCCCGCGTGGTCACCGTCCTCGACTGCACATCCTTCTCCGCCCTCTTCGACCTCGAGGTCGTGGAGAAGAAGAACATTCTCATCGGGGACTACATGCCCAGCCTCAGCTTCACCGGCGACACCCGCGTCGTCGTGTACCTCGACCCCTCCGAGCCCGACCACGCCCGCGTCAAGAGCTTCTGCTTGGAACTCCTCAGGCGCGGCGCCAAGACCTGGGTCTCCTCGTTCCTCTCGAACCTCGATGTCATGCTCGCCACCATAGAGCAGGGGATCGCCAAGGATGGCTCCGCCGGCTTATTCGGCCCGCTGCAGAAGTGCATCTTCGCGTTCCTCTGCAAGAGCATCATCGGGGCCGACCCGTCGGTGTCGCCCGACGTGGGAGAAAATGGCTTCGTCATGCTCGACAAGTGGCTCGCGCTGCAGCTCCTCCCGACGGTGAAGGTCGGGGCCATCCCGCAACCCCTGGAGGAGATCCTCCTCCACTCCTTCCCCCTCCCCTTCTTCCTCGTGAGCCGCGATTACCGGAAGCTGTACGAATTCGTCGAGAAGCAAGGCCAAGAGGTTGTCCAGCGAGCGGAAACCGAGCACGGGCTCAGCAAGCACGACGCCATCAACAACATCTTGTTCGTCCTAGGATTCAACGCCTTCGGCGGCTTCTCGGTCTTCTTCCCCACGCTCCTGACCACCATAGGGAGGGACAAGACGGGCCTGCGGGAGAAGCTCAAGGACGAGGTGCGCAGGGTCATGAAGAGTAGAGGGGAGAAGCGGCCGAGCTTCGAGACGGTGCGGGAGATGGAGCTGGTGCGATCGACGGTGTACGAGGTCCTGCGGCTGAACCCGCCGGTGCCGCTGCAGTACGGGCGGGCGCGCACCGACTTCACGCTGAACTCCCACGACGCGGCGTTCAAGGTTGAGAAGGGGGAGTTGCTGTGCGGGTACCAGCCGCTGGTGATGCGGGATCCAGCGGTGTTCGACGACCCGGAGACGTTCGCCCCGGAAAGGTTCATGGGCAGCGGGAAGGAGCTGCTCAAGTACGTCTTCTGGTCCAACGGGCCGGAGACGGGTACGCCGACGCCGGCCAACAAGCAGTGCGCCGCGAAGGACTACGTGGTGGAGACGGCGTGCCTGCTGATGGCGGAGATCTTCTACCGCTACGACGAGTTCGTGTGCGCCGACGACGCCATCTCAGTGACGAAGCTGGATAGAGCGACAGAAAGGGAGTAAACGGTATTCAAGTCGGAAGCGACATAAGGAGACGGCCAACTCCACCGTTGCTAATTCAAGTCGTACTCCAAATCGGTATTCATATCATCGTTCCATTGGGGTGATGAAGAGATAAATAAATTTTGACGTTGCAGGAGGCTACATGCAAACTGCTTTCAAATAAAACTAGTAATGTGACACCTTGGTTGATTGATGTTTGTAAGTACATTTTGTCTTATGTCTCTCATCATTATAGGTTTCCTCTCATCGGTCTCTCATCGACACAGGTTTCTTCTTATGCGGGTCAAGTTTTTCCTACTCTCGCATCTTGGACATTTTATTTTAGATCTCTCGTCATTACAAGTTTCCTCTTATGTCGATCGTGTTTTTTCGACTCGTACATCTCAAGCAGATTTTATCTTGTGCCTCCCGTCGTGATGAATTATCTCTTATACTCGGTCAAGTTTTCCCAACTTACATGCCTCAGAATATACTTACACGTGCTATGGCAAGAAGCACACGACAAAATATACTTACACGTGACAAGTTTCTTCTTACGCAAGTCAAATTTTATTGACTCGTGCACTTTTATGCTCTTCCAAGGTGATATTTGCACATCGATCACTTTTACTCCAATTCAATAAAGTTTGATTTATAAGTCCCTTGACCCCATCACCACCAATTATTGATTGATGTTTGTAATTAGATTTTCAAGCCAAAATAAGTAGGGTGATTGTCCAAAAAAAAATATCAATTTTTTTTCAGATGATATCTTTTTTTTTATAATTTTAAATCATCATATCCTATTTTAAAAATTATAAAAATACCCTCAAAAGTTATCATGTATTTTTTCATCCAAATTTAAAAATGTTTGCCAACCATTCATAGTGTTTTGTGGGTTGATTTTTATCCACAAAAAAATACTATATAATATTTTAAAAATATTATATAATATTTAAAAACACTATATAGTGTTTTATTTTAAATATATTATATAATATTTTACAAATAAAAACTAATCCATAAAACATTATAAATAGTTGGCGAAATTTTTTGGATTTCATAAAAAACATAACTTAAAAAAAACATTTTTGAAATATTATAAATAAAGAATGACGGTTTGGGAATTACAAAATGGGATACCATATAAAAAAATCAAAAATAAATATATTTTCCCGTACAATGGCCAAATAAGTTCATATTCCAAGTTATGTGTGCAAAAAATGTATTATTATAAGGACCATATTTTAATTTTAATAATTAAAAATATGTTATTCAAAATACAGCCAAAATTGAAAATCAAAGAAATACAACGGCATGGTCGTCACATGTGATTAGAAAATATATAAGAAATAAACATTTCAGGACTCATGATTTCCACCTGTTACTTGAAACCATCAAACATTGCAGGACAGTGACTAAATGGATTCCTTTCCTTGTTGACAGATATTTTTAAGTTGCTGGAAAGCGATGAAGATATGAAACCATTCTGCAGCAGCTGAAGTAGCTTATCAGCCCACACAAACGAATGGTACACGCATCCGAGGCCCTTTTGTTCCCTCATGTTCAGAATGGTACACGCATGTCCAAACGAACACGAGGTTCACATGCGAAATGCGACAAAGTCGCGCGCAAGGAAAAGTCTTCTTCCACGCAACATCTTTCACATTATTAAATGCTCATGAAAAGGTTAAAAAACTTGCGACAGAGACGCGCCAGGAAAAGACTTGTTCCATGCATCAACCTCCATTAAATGCTCATGAAGAAACGGTGAAAGAATATGCGACAAAGTCGGGCAAGGAAAAGACCTTTTCCTCGCATCATCCATCGTTAAATGCTCATGAAAAGTCGAAAGAAGATGCCAACCAGCCCAGTAATCACATGAAGAAACAGAGGGGATAAAAGATGATTTCCACCATTTTCTCATAAGAAAATAGAAACAAAATTATTGATAATTTCATAAATTTTTTATCAATTAAACTAATTATTATGATGAAATCTTGAAACCCTCGACTAAATCATACGAGTCATAATTTCATCAAAATTCAGTAATAAATCATTTTTTCCTGGAAGTAAGAACAAGATCTTTTTCATCAGAACATGATATTAGTACGACTACATGGAAAGAAAGGAATTCATACGTAGAAACAAACAAGAAAGCAAAAAGCCAAAAACAAAAGTGATAAGATCAATATGATGTCGTACCTCGATAACAGAACCTTTTGAGTTCTTTGATGCAACCCCATGCAGAAAAAGATATTATACACCGGGATGACAGCATTGATTAGTAGTAAGATGGTACGGAATTTGGCTCTTATGGACCTACAGTCAGACTTGCATAGTGGCATTCGTATTCACTTGGATCTGTAGTTTGTCAATACGAACCAGAATGTTCCAAAACGCCAAAATGTTAGTCCCGTAGTCGCCTCAGCCGATCACCTCAATTGAATATATAATCAAAATTTCCAAGATTCCATCGGCTTCATGTTGTCAAGATTCTCGTCAATTTGTAGACCTGCCAATATGCCAGTATTCAGCCACATCGTTCCTGGAATGAAAATAGATAGATCAAGTTCTTCCGTCTTACTGCCTACCTGGGCGCTTCTACGAGGCAATGACACTTCCAACGAGTTTCTGTGGCCATCAGTCCTGCAAAGTAACAACATAAACAGATCGATAAATTCTGTAGATGGAGTAAAGAAAGTCAAATCAAAACCCTCGTGTTCCCAAGGCCTGGAATAATCAGTCAGCTCTATACAGGTGAGGAAAGTCTTTCGAGGATAGGAGAGATTCACACTGCGGTTGATAGCCAAGGAGAACCATGTCCCCAACATAACAGGGATGTGGAGAAATAACCTTTTAAAAGGAACCCACATTCCTGAAACGGGGATATGAAAATTTAACCTTGGGTTATGTAATGCCCTCCAAGACTTCTCTTCTCACCATAATTTCTTATCGATACTTGAAGACTGGTGTCTCTTAAGAACAAACAGATGCTAGAAACTTGTAATTTAAGATGAACACCTTTTGGTGCTAGTCCTTTGAAGATACAGGTTTCTCTTCAGCATCCCGAGTCCTCCGTAACTGACTTCATCAGTATTGAGTATTAACTGAAACAAAGCAATTCATTACGTCATCAAGCATTTTTTTTGTTTGCTTCAGAAAAGCAAATGATAGCTAACTAACATCAGAAAAGCAAAGGTTTTCATCATTACACAAAATAAGTACTAAAAGGAACAGAATCCCACCTAACAAGTCTAAAACCCCACAGATTCATGTTGGGGCTAAGGGTCAACTGGCACAAAATTATAAATTTGTCAAACGTATTTCAAATATGATCCATATCATGTTCTGTGGGTAGATTGGATCAATATTGATCTGTTCTAGGACATAGATTGACCTGCATCTAACCGCGTCGGTCAATACACTGCGATCCACTTTGGTAAGTGCTATACAATAAGAACAAGATGGTTTGTCACCTGAAATTCATTAGAGCAGTATGTACCACCTTTTCTAATAGGTATGGTTCAATATGGTAGTCCATACTATTAAATCCATCACATGTTCCGTTTCTCTGTTTACATTTCTTCTGCTTGTTTATCATTTATGGTATTTCAGGAAATTGCCAAGTAGTGGGATTCACACAGTACCTGATATTCCCCTGCTTCTTCTACACCGACACAATAAGCTTCATAACAAATTGTAGGATGAAAGTTGAACAAAAAAAGTAGCGGTCCTCTGTTGTAGGATATAACCTATATGAAAATTGTTAGTAGTTTTTCAGTATCAGATATACTAAAGGCCTAAAACATTAAGCTAGCATGAATACAAGTAATGCAACTTTCATAGCAGAATTGTTCCACATGTAAGAAGTTTTATTTTTCGAACAAAACCAGAAAATAAAAGATGTTCAAAATTATGTTTTAATCTAAAGTTTTCCCATTTGCTGACAAAAGCCTTGATATCATGAGCGACAAATAAGCACCTAGCACTGCATGAGCACAATAAACCTAAAATACTTAAGAGCAACTTCATAATGCTTTTAAAGCATCTTTTTATGGTATATATCAATGTTTTGAGGACAGTGTCATTTCTACAACAAATGGGGCAACAGCTAATATATAGTAAGATTAATTGTATCTACGGGATGTTTTGAGGACAGCGAATGAGGTTAATTGTATCTACAGGATGTCTATGCCCGAACAACGAAGTTGATCGGTGAGATGGAAAAATAGTCAATATAACTTAGCTGCAGACATATAAATGAATAGGAAACCTCATACCATGTTAGAGTCATTAATATGGTGCACCTTTGGTGGTCCACTTGAAAGTATATTCTCATCCTCATCTATCCTCATCATATCCTGCAAAATGTAAAATATGCACAAATATTCTAGTTCAACACTGAACAACTGACATATAAGCATGTGTATCTTTGCCTGACATCAACAATGTTATCAATAAGTAAAGTATGCACAAAAAATAAAGACAGACATGTTGCATTACTATGAACAAAGAAAAATCTATATTCTATAGTTTATACTTTATAGTAAAACTTTGTTGTAGATTTTGTGTGAGGTAGAAGTCTGAAAGATGAGAAATACCTACAACAACCTTCAACTACTTTCTACCTGCTTCCAACAGAATTTTCTTTTCCCATGTTCCTAATTTTCTGATGCACAGATCCGGTACAATAACTCTTGACCAATTAACACTTGTTCAAAGGACCTCAAAATGTTTTAGTTCAACTGGTTGACCAAACACTGCACCAGGTTGAAAAACACAATTAAAGGTATGTGATGCTTAACAGCCACATCAAGGTTTTCAATTTAGAGGCATGTCCTCCAAGCCAGCATGTAGCAACTTAAAAGCAGTTGCATATGGTTCAAATTTTGGATTATAAAATTAAAATAATGGATAAAAACACCAAAATGTGACAGTGAGAATGCAATCTAAATGGAAAGGATAAAGGATTAATATAGCTACAGATTCATTTTAGATAAGTAATCCAATTAAAAATTGATTTTCTTTCTGTAAAAAGTCTTGCACATCCAATTGCAATATATTATCTAAAGTCATATTTATTCATGATTCCATCTGGATCTTATCCACAAAAATCAATCACTTGATACACCAATATGTATCAAAGAGGAAGGAGAAGAGGAACAAAGAAGAGAAGGTGGTGCAGGAAAAGGATCGTGACGGGGAAGAGGAAAGAAGAAGGAGATGGAGAAAGAGGAAGAGGAAGGAAGAAGAGGAGGCGGTGGAGGAAGAGGAGAGAAGGAAGAAGTGGCAGTGGAGGAAGAGGAGAGAAGGAAGAAGAGGTGGTGGAGGAAAAACATTTCAGACCATTCATAACTTCGTTGTGCTTGAGAAGTTCTTTTTGTTATATAGATTGAATCAGGCCACCTGAAATGGGGGTTCCAACTCGGACCAGTAAATACCAGTTGGTGTGGTGAAAAACAGGCAAAATTGCAATCCACGGTCACACTCGAGAACTATTTTGTTATTGTATGCGATGATCATTTCAGATGATACATTCCATAGCACTTGTCAAAGGGCTGAAATAGTAAATTAGTATATCAAACAGGCATTTCTGATTAAACAGAGTAGTATCCTTAGCAAATATCAACCACAGAAGACATGGAGTATATAAAATGACTACTCAAATTTAATCATACAAACTTGTGTAAGATATTAGACTGAAATGCTTACCTTATCAAAATTAAAAAGTTGCCTGTGCACTTCATCCATTAATAAATCCCATTGACGGTTTGCCAAAGCAAATGAAAACTTGTTGCTTGGGACTGGAAACTCAACTCTCTATTAAAATAACAAAATCAGAAGAATTGATATTTAACGTTAAAAAAGACAATGACATGCCTTTAAAGAGAGAAATGAAGACAACCAGCACAAGATAACACAATATAAAAAAATCTCACATTTGGGTGTGCAAATTCATTTCCCATAAAATTGAGGTAAGCACTTCCACTCATTGTGAATGTCAGTAACTTGATCATCTGAAATATGAAGTTGAAAATTAAAATATGCAAGAAGTAACAATTCCAGATCAAGATAATTTGCATGGATATCTCTTGTATGCACACCTGAAAATAAAGTTTCTAACATCCTGGGCAAGATAAAGAAAGTTATTGCAAATAAATCTCTATACAAGACTAGTAACATTTTCAGTGACAGAGCATATGCTGAATTAGGGTTTAGCATATGTAGGAAGTCGAATATTATCATAGTAAACCTATGCTTAAATTTCAACTAAATACATAAAGGGTATACCCAGTACATGAGACTTCCGCTAAAGCAAGGTCTAGGAGGGTCAACGTATGTAGCTTTACCTAGAAATTGTTATCATGACTCTACTATGTAACACCCCTGTTCCACAGTGGAAGTGGGCAAAAAGAATAGATTGATTTATATGAACCTAATGGGTATACTACCATTAATTTGATTACAAGTATTTTGACTCAGTGGTTCATGCTCAGCTCAATGAAAACAATAGGTCAGTTATCAGATTGGTCAGTTATATAAACCTAGTATTGAGGCAATAATGAGAGGCTCGAGTAGGAAAGGATTGATGGGCATAAATCCTAAACATCTTGGTAGTTATGATTAGTCTTAAACATTACAGACCAGTGAAGACTCTTCATACTAAGGGTAGCTACATAGGGCTTGATAATGATTGGCCAGATTTCTTTCTCCATTTTGACCACAACAAGGATTCAATAATTCAAGTTAATCCTCTAATCAAGTAAGCAAACCACAGACAATCTAAGATAGACTCTTGGCCTTATTTTTCTCTCTAGAGTCTGAACAAAAACAAACAATGACAAGAACTACCAGAAAGCATGAGACTAGAGAAACAAGAACCTATACACCTTGTTCTCCCTCTGCACAGTATGAGACAGGAGAATCTTAGCAGTAATTACAACAAAAAAAAAGCATACTAGCAGGTTAGAAATTATTAATTAATCATTTTTCACTATCAGAAAGCTGTATAATTTCAAAATTAGGAGACTAAAGCAATATTAGAAATGGCAAGCTATCATGCATTGCAATTAGAATGACAAAAGAAGTAAATTAGTTGCTATTAACATACCTTATGCAGTGAAGCTCCCCTAAATAGAACATTATCAGATTCAATGATTTGCTCATCAGCCTTGCTGAACAAAATTTCCGCAAAGGACCGCCCTCCTGATATTGACTGTATTACAATGTAATTGACATTAATAAGTGGTCATTAAAGAAAAATTAACTTGAAACACATCTAAATATTGAGACCAAGTTCATTCATGTAAAAAATGTACAATTCTGGGTATTAGTTAAGTTACTGTAACATCTTTTAAAGACACTGTGCTTTTATTTGTCCAGTCCTTTCTGATTTTCATCCATGACTGCCGTTCTGTTATATTTTTCTTTATGCTTGGGTAGATGCACATTTTTTGTTTATCTTCCTAAATATAACAGGATTTAGCATTGTGCAAAAGAAAAGTCATATTTTCTCTCAGACCATTAATCACTCAGATTGATGAGCATTTGATGTAGAGAAAAAGAGATAGAAACAATAAAAAACATTTTTCTTGGAGTGACAAGTAAGCACTTTTGGAGGTATCCCTCTTTTTATCAGACAGATCTGTCAACTGATAATATCCAGAACAACTTGGATGATCAACAAAGGTACCACCAAGGTTGACATTGAATATGTCTAGCTCTGATAGAGACTTGGAGTGACATAATATGTATACTTAATCAAAGGCCAGCATGTCTGCATGATGTATTAAACGTTTTAGCTATACAGACGTAACATGACCAAATCATGCAAAACTTGTATTTTGGCTATAGCAAAAAAGTAAATCTCTTCATGCATTTTAAAATTTGACAAAACCAAACTAAATAGTGTGACCTGGACAACATGACAGCCAGTGCAGAGAATCCATTAGTGTATACATATTTAATTTATGATTAACATGATTGAATAAATTACTTTAGTTGGAACCAATTTTCTCATAACAAATATAACAGACAAATTCATCAGGAGTCATAAACCTCAAAAAGAAAATTAAATAGCACAGGACACTAACTATAATTGATTAAATGGCAACAGAAGCAAACATTTTATGTATCAGGCCAATACCTGATTATGATTCTCAGCATACAAAAGCATCTTATGATGGCTTTGTTGGTTGGTCAAAAGCACACTCACAATCTGCACCAGTTATATAATTAAACAAAGATGCAATTTGTGGGTTATTAGACATAAACTATAAAAATTATCATCACAACTTTGCTGAAAGATAAACTGCTCAGTATTTATTAGTAAGATAACTTGCACACCAAAAAAATAACCAAAAATAAGTTTGCAATATTTTTTTCATACATAAAATAACATAAAAAACCATGTCAATCATAAATTCATTCTAAAAAAAATTATTTTAAAAATTCTTTCAAACAGTATCTACTAGAGTTAAGCAATTACAGGATATTCACAATAAATTGAAAGCAATTAAAGTACCATTAAAATGGGTTAGATATTATTAACAACAAAGATGCAGAAAAGGAATTTGAGGTTGAAGAAATGGTTGCAACTTGCAAGTAGATACTACAAAAATTTATACCAAAGAAGAGAGTGTTACTACTGTTTATGCTTGTCAACTATGCACTGCCAAGTAAATCAAGAGAGACTTTTCAGAAGGCTTGGATCAGATAAATAAGAAATCTAGATAGTCAAAATGTTCATAAGAGACAAATGCTTATATGGGCAAAAACACAAATAAAGAGTAGACATGAAGGTGATTGACATGAGAACAAATGAAAATAAAGAATATTTATATATTGCATTTGTCATCAATCAATTTAAGAAGAAAGACATCCGATTACATGTGAAGTGCAGATATAGTTGTCACCTGTTTTTCTTTTTCTTTAAACCAATTGCATAGATGAACTTGCCAATAAAGATTGTAGTCACACAATTCAAGAATACAATGCAAGTCAAGGGGAAAAAAACTGAGATGAAAATGACAATATCTCATGTGGATGTTCATAACTAATCATACAACTTATTAGTAAAAGAAACACTGGATCCAATGGTTTGGGGCAGGGGTTTTGATAAAATTATGGTGCAATGAGGTCCAAGAAGCAACTAGCACCCAATGGGCTTGTCATAAATATGGCAAATATATATAAATTTTTGTAAGATACAAAATGGAAGGATAAGAGAAAAAAAATTATTGATGATACTAACTAAAATAACATAATCATAGCTCTAATATGGGGAACAAAGGTTAACCAAGGCCAAATGAACTAAAAAGAAATCAATGTTTTCATTAATAAAAAATCATACCATTTCATACTACAAGACTTACAATTTACCCACTATAAATATAGATTTACTTAAGCCTTGAGCAAACAAAAAGGAAAAAAAATCTGTCCAACAAAATTTTACTAAAATGTTACCATATTGAGAATCCTCCCCAAATTCAGATGACCTCTAACTACAACACACTTAGGTACCCTTTTAAAGCTGTGAAAATGTAACTAGTCTGAACTAAGCATTGTCGTTTCCCAGTCTGGAACATAGTATTTACCAATGAACCAACTTTCTTGCCCGTCTCTCTTCCTCGATACCATCATGTACCAATGTATCATGTGTTAGTATACCAGCATGGACTAGACCAATACCAATTTGGCTATGAACCAGAAAGGGTCCGGTGCTGAAAATAGCATCTCTTAGTCCAAACTCCAAACTAGCTAAAATAGACTTAAATCACAATAAAACACCAATCCTAATATGTGACTAACTCTGAACGAATATACTCTAAAACATAAAGAAAAAGTCTCTTAACATCGACTCAATAATGGAAATCAATTCAACTTGACCTCTGAACTAAGAAAAGAACAAACTAAGCTTGATCTCAAAGTCATGGTTGCATCGTTATAAATGAGGCAAATGATGAGGGAACTGAATAGTGAAGATTTAACTCATTATGATTATTTTGCTATGTGGTTTTCCAATCACATATTTATCATAATTCACAACAGAAGTAATTTATGCACAATTGTAACCCGATCAGTTGAGCCAAATCTATACATGTTACGGTGCTAGAAATTTTAAAGCAGAACAGTAGGAATTGGGTAAAAGATTAGGATTTCTATCCTTATATCTTGCATGAAATGTTTCTCCTAGTACACTAAGCTTTCGTTTTGAAGGTGCTAAAACATCCTTTTCAAAATCTCATCCGACGGATCAAATGTGCAAAGGGTGTACAAGTCCACATTCACAAGTGATCCTTTCAACTCAAGTTGAAATCTTCAAAGGTACAAAAAAGATGCAACAGTATAATCAAGTAGTAACCCATCGAGTAGCCAAGGATAGTTTGAAGGTTAAACATATGGCTTTTCAGTATGACATGGCAGCTATCTTAACAAAAGTAGGTTGAGAAACCTTATTCATGCTCCAGTCCTGATCAGGGACATTCTCAAGAAGCCACAGCCACAACTCAGAAACTGAAAAGTTGATCCAGTAGTCAAATCCCAAGCCACCTTGAGTTGTTGGTTCACATAATCCAGGATAAAATGTGGCCTACATTATAAAAGAAAGAAAAGTTTAGAGTTAGAATAAACTCAACATTATTGTTAGCTTTCACATTTCTGATGTATATATTTGTTTCATAGCTATCCAGCTAAAAAAAGAATAACAGTGTGAAGTGTGAACAATAAAAAACAGTAGTTTCGTTGTTTACTGAGTTATCAGCATTATAGCATAAGAAGACAATCACCTTCCATGATACCTCCTCCTGAGAGAAAAAAAAATGATGTATTGTATTCGTACTTTATACTAGTTGTTTCTATTCCATGCAATTTAAGAGAACAGTAAAATCAGTAATTTTGATGATGTTCACTTGGTTTTGTACAAGGAAGTCCAACTACTTATATGGCACATAATTACCCATTCACCAACAACAAGAAGCTACAGAGTCCCAGTTGACATAGTTACCAGGAATTTAAAAAAAAAATTCTCAATAACAAAGGAAAGGAAAGTAATAGCATAAATAAATCAGGTAAAGGTATATCAAGCCAAGGTTCGTTGTACCGCAACATACCACTCAGTATGGGCGATATGTACTAGTCCGACAGGGGATCAGTATAGGTGGTACATCGGTATGCCTCCATGTACTGTGTGTTGGTATGCTCGGTATAACTCGGTATATATCATACTGATTGTGGGTTGGTACACCGGTACAGACTCGTAAGGCAAACCATGTATCAAGGTTCCATATTAAAATTTACATACCATGGCTTAATGCTTGTATGAGGTGGTATGTACCTATTGGACAGTCTCGAAAAGGATATACACGATACTGCCTGTATAAGATGCACCAGACTGGTCTAAGCCTATTGCAAACAGATGCATTGGATAAGTTCATAAATTGAACATGTCTGATGGTTCAATAAATAGCACTTCTGAAGTCATATTTAACAATTCAATTTGGGCTTGGTGAGACGGTCTTCTCAAAGTGGCAGCCATAAGAAAAAGGAGAAGAAAAGGAGGACAATGAATCTGTACAAGCAAAATGCCTGAGACTTGTTCTTTGTCTTTCTCTATTTCCTCTTTTTTTTATAATCTATTCTTTCTCTGTGGTTGCTTGTGTCAGTGTAAATTTTGCACAATACCACTTGGTATGGACCACAGAAGTGGGGATTCTTAGCTTTAAGGTATGCAATTTCGTACCATACCAAAGTTTCGACGTTCGCTCGGTACGGTACGAAACTGTATACCGAGCGGTATATATATATATATATAAAGGTGACGTCGCATCGCCTCGGCGACGTCGCCTTTTCCTTCTCCCATGCGGGGCGACGTCACCGAGGCGACGCGTCATCGCCTCGCATATATATATATAAGGTGACGTCGCATTGCTTCGGCGGTGTCGCCTCGTTTATATATATATATAAGGCAACGACACTTCGCCTGTTATAAAAAATATATATAATTTTTATTTTATTTTTTCGTTCCGCCCGATAGCGGGCGGTCCGTATACCGGTAAGCTGACGGACCGGTACGTACCAGGCGGTATTATTCGAAATTGCATACCTAGTTAGCTTGCATTTAGTTCAAAACTACTGAAAAGCCAATTTCTCATGTTACTGACAGAATCAACTTCTTGAAACTATCATTTTATTGCAACAAATGCAATAGCAATTGACATTCATCCATCATGACAATTGAGAAATGTAGTTGCTACAACATCCAAAACAATAATTTACCAAGTACCAGGTGATATGAAAATCATAAGCTCTGCTGGATCCAAGATATATGAACTGCAAAGTTTTAACCTAAGATGTAGACATCCAAACAAACTTATCAGTCCTGAGTTCCACCTGATAACATGGGTCTGGATCCTCAAACTGACTCATTAAAATAAGGTATGGACCCTCAATAAGTACACAATACTGTGAAGTGTGAACATAACCTGATATGTGATCCATATCTGCATTTGGATATCATCATTAGTTATTGGATATGGGTTAGGATCCTAGGCAAATCTTACTGAGGTCTCACTTGGTAACACCCTTTTAAAACTTCCTCCATCAAATTCCAAGAGAAGAGTACAGGTAAGAGATATACAAGCAACTTTAGTGTATGATTCTCAATTATTATCCTGATAGTAATATTTTTAGAATGAATCTAATAGAATTTCAAGTGATGACTTGGTTCAGGAATAAACATAGTCATCTATGCATAAGTTCTTGCTCTTTGAATTCGCTGAAGCAAAAATTGAAGCTATGCTGGTATTTATTTTGCTGAGATGACTTTAAAAAATGTGTATTATGATGATATATGTTGTATTAAGAGGACGTGAACTTCTTTTCAAGTCTCAGAAGATATTATAATGTGAAATGTGAAAAATAATTATGGATTAATCTCATAGAAATGACTCTAAGCAAAGACAAACACAACAGAAGTTTCACGTTTGTAGGTTTCTCTCTGTGCTCCACTCTGATCACTATATCAGTTAGGAGACTTGGACCATTATTAGCAAGGAAGAAGACATTACCTGATGCAAATGCTCCTCTTCCATCTATGGTTTGCCTTATCTATATGCTTTGGAGATAGATCCACCCTCAATACTCTCATAAAGAGTGCCAACTCACATCGTCTGAGAACATTGATGTGATGTCATAATGGAAGACATCAACTAATGGGATAGAATGATTGAGATGCATGGAAATTGAGAGCAATGCAGGCGATACGGGCTAACTGATGCAGTGAATATATTTGGTGGTATATTAACTGCGAACCAGCATGGGATAAGTTGTGGTAACTGAACATCGACAAGAAAGTCCATGACAGGCCACTACCACAAGCTCAAGGCTTCTTGCTAGCAAAGAGTATCATCAGTTTCCAAATAAAAATCTGCAGTTCTTTCTTGAAAAACCTTGCCTCTTTCAATTGCTAAATAGGAAAATAGTCAAATACAACTATGTTTAGTTTGTTTCTTAAATCATCTTCATGGACTACATGCATTACAGCTTCTGATCAAAAGACATTAATTATGTCTAGTACTATTAGTTCGATACTTTTTAATATTGCTCAATTTTTAATACATCTAGTATTATTAGTTCATTAATCCCTGTCGTTGGCAGACTCAGAAAGATGGGTTCAATAACATCCTAAGCACATTAATTATGAACATGCAACCCTAGTCTCATTTCACTCTTTCTATCATTTATATCTTCACCTATCTTCTTTTGCTTATATCTTGCTTTCAGTAATTTTGACCTCCTCTTCATAGGACTTAATTTAATTCATCTTATTCTAAACAACAGTTTCGATTTTGGAGAGAAACCAAAAGCCATAGATTCTAGGTAAGTTGGGCATAACATGAGACACAGTGAGTCTATTCACCTAGTATAGAAAACCAATTTACTACAAGAAGATAGAAATCCAAGGAAAGAATGGTAACTTACATCTTCTGCAATTGTGATGATATCTGGATAAAGTTCATGCAGCATCTCATTTGCTAGAATAAGGTACAATAAAGCGTCTTTGTCAACATATTGATTGCAATACCTGAAAGACACGAAGATCATGGATGGTATAGCAGAACTAGAATCAATTGTTCATAAAAATCTTCCAAAAATATGGCAGACAAAAAATATATATCTTAACAATCCAACCCAAAATAGTTAGGACTTTACATTTTTTTTGTTGTTGTTGTAGCCAAATAAAGGAAACTGAAAATTGCATTCTCTGACTTCTCCAACCAAGCTATTCTTCTTTAATATATAGAGATAAAGCTAAGATTAATGTCTTTAAAAGTGCTAGGAGCTCCAGAATATTAAATTTTAAAAAATATACATTCCAATTGATAAATATGATCATAAAAACAAAAATCACACAATAAGGTTTCTACTTTCTACTAATGGAGAACTATGCTAAATAGGTTTCTAACTAGTGCTAATAGTTCTAAAGAGTGGACCAAATATGGTGCTAAACAGTTCTATCTAATGCTAAACAGTTTCAAGAGGGAATTGAAAAGATGAGGAATCAACAGCTGTGGAGGAAGAAGAGGGTGGTGGACGAAGCTGCGGATGAAGGCGATGGTGGCGGTGGACGAAGCTATGGACGAAGGCAGTGAAGGACTAAGTTGCGGACAAAAGCGGCAATGGCAGGCGAAGGCAATGGCGGCGAACAAAGTTACAAATAAAGAGGTAGCAGCGACAGACAGCTGTAGCGACGGACGAAGGCGACTGTTGGGGCAGGTTTTACGTTAGGGTACATTAGTTGGTTTGTTGAACTAACTTACTCATTCAATTGAACCACGCTTGAATCCCCAACCCAATTTCACACAGGCACTGGCCCGAGGAACTCGGCGCCTGTGGCGCTTCATCGAAATGCCTTGCTCAGGGGTTTTGCAAGGCGCTTAGGCTTTTCAGGGTCATAGGCTAAGAAACTTTGTTGATCAGAAAGCATGAGGTTACAACCTGAAGGCTTTCGGGGGTCATAGGCTGAGGTTCTATATGCTGGTCCAGTACAAATTTCGAAAACCTACCGCATCAATGTGATAATGATATACTGAGAAGTAAAAAGGAACTGGCCTATTGCAGATGGCATTGGCTCAAGGCAGCTATAAACCCATATTGGTATTGTAAGATGCATGCATCTGAGAAGTTTCTTTACATTTTTAGTAAAGCTTAAAAGACTTTCATAAAGACTAACTAAACCCTATAATTTTTATTCTCCCCAAAGAAACATGACAAACACTTAAGAACAGCAACTCCTGCTTTAACTTGTTAAATATTCTCCATGCTACATTTTTTTATGCAGGACAAGTATGTAGATTGATGTAGGACATGTAAATGGGTAGCATCTCAAGTCTAGGTTATAAGTTAAAAGCAAGAAGAAAAATGAAAAGAAAAAAAATTAGTGTTGTAAGGTGAAGTAACTCCCTGGGAGCCACAGTGGCACTAATGTTAAATGCCCTCACAGCTTAGTTTTGGCAAAAGATCAATCAGATTGATATATGGCTACCACTGTGTTTTTATCCAAAAACAGATGCTATCCCCATCATTGTGTAAAAATTCTATTCCACTTTTTTTTTTCATTTTTTGCTAAGGCAATCAGGGGTGTTATAGATTTGCAGATTCATTTTCTGAGTCTGTGAAAAAAGATGAAAGTACCATGGAGCTAATGGAAGCAAGGAAGGCAACTGATATGAGATCAAAACTTATCTGCGGTGGTTCTTAAGAACATAATTATCTGCATTTGGAATTTGTTCCTGAAATTTTATCACTATGGGTTTATTGTTGCTGCTCTACGTTCTAATTTTCCTTTGGGTATACCTTCTATGTTATAGATACTGATATTCTCATCTTGTTCTCTTTTTTGTTTATTTTTTCTATATTGTAGTACGTATTCCATGTCCTTCATTAATCAGGATTAACAAATTCTCATGTTTGTTTTAAAAAAAACCTTCTTGCTAGTGTAAGATCCTTAAGACAGTTTTATAAGTTTAGGATCAGCCTCAAGAATTGAAGCTTTTAGCTAAATCAAAGCTCTAATACATATAAACATGAGCAAAGGTACACAAATAGATATCAGTGCATGTCCTAATGTACTGGAGTTTATGCAGCAGAATACAAGTAGAAAGAAAGGTAGAAAAGAAGATAAAAGCAATACGAGCTCATGTAAGGCTTTACACATATCATGCCATGTGTGAAAGAAGAAAAGGTCTTCTTGAATCAATAACTTCACCATGCATGAAAGAAGATAGGTCTTCTTGAATCAATAATTTTTTTCAACATGTTACTGAAATTGTGAATGCCAAAACAATTGTCCTTGATTCAATCCTTGGTACTCATCCATTTCACCTATATTTCAAAATCCTCTTCTTCCATGGGCAATTTAGGCGCATTCAGTCATGGATCTAAAAGAATTTGATTATCCATATCTTTCTTTGTGGTTTTGCAAAAGTTCTCTGTCCTCAAAAATTTCTGGCAAGAATTGAGTTTGTCTGCTTCCAGAATCAAATTATTCTTTTTCTAATATTATCAACAATTCTCAGTCCAAGAACCCCATGAAACATTTTATTGTTAAAATAATCTAGGATTTGAACTTTTCCATGTCTACAAGGAAATATTAGAAAAAGAAATGCTTGTTCTGAACCAGCATGATGAGCCCATGCTTATTGGAAAATTTGGATACACGTAAGATTAATATGAAAACTCATCTGGGCACAGCTTTTTCAAAATTGTGCCTAAAAGATATAATTCTCATGCAATTTATTATATCACGTTTTAATATAAATATATCCAGTTAAGTAACTTTTTCCATAAGACTAGTGGCCAGCCTTCAAGAAAGATGAAAAACTTCAAATCCACATGAAGATCATGTCTCACAGCTGGTTTTATTCTAGTGTAAGTTGATCAAGAGTGCGCAAAACAACTTACTCCTCGATGTCACCAGTAAATGTAGCAAAACCATTATGAGTATACATCATTGATGGGAGTGAGTGAAACTGGAAGCCATCAACCTGATATTCTGCAACCCACCTTTCAAAATACATTGATTAGATCAAAAGATGAAAGAAGATGAAATCTAGAGCAAAGGTTGGATTGTAGAAAGTACCACTTCAAGTTTGACAAAAGAAAGTGCAACACATCAACATCACCATATTTGAACATCCTGGTACCCCAATATTTATGATGACCCCGTTTACCTGTCAGAAAAAGGTCGTAGTCAGGAAATGACTTGACACAAATAAAAAATATCAGCATGATTTATCTGCATCTACTGATCAACAAGGTCAATGATTCATTGAAACATATAGTTCAATTGCTCTGAGAAAGCAATGGTGTGCTGGTGCAAAACTGATCCAAGAAAGCAATCCCTGTTTGGAAGTATTGCACATTCTAAGAGATGATGGAAGCACATAAAAATGGTTCTAGATGTCTCAGGTTCAATCAAGACAAATGCATAAAGAAAGATAATAACCAAGCGCTAAAAGAGTAAGAGTAAGGCGAGATGTAAAGCAGACAAATCGCTATCATCAATTTCAGTGGATAGAAAAATGAAGCAAAATAGTTCACACCAGTATGGAAGTAGCAATCATTTGATCCATCAAATAGTGACAACCCAGCTGATTCATCTGCTGAAGCATAGGAATGAACAACATCTAGAAACACTAGAATTCCAAGCCCTGTCGAAAGAAATGCAAATGGTTATACAGCCAGCAAACAAGATAGATAAAACTAACATAATGGACCAACAAAGAGAGACGGGTGAGTAGTGTGATAGAGGAAAAAGAAGGTACAAGAAGCAGAAGGGTAGAGCAAAACAAAGAGAGTGAGTTTAAATCTAACATCATGAAAGAGAAGACAATAAAATTTCACAAATACTCTGGTGATAAGCAGAAAAATAACAAGAACCAACCTTCCTTTGTAATGGATATAAATTCATGAACTGATAAATACTAAGGTGTATAATACTACACAGACCAGCAGAACATATGAAGCGGCAACAAAAGACAAAATACTAAATGATGAGAAGAGATATCATTCAAGATTAAGAAAAACTACAAATAATAACTTGCCCATGACATTAGAGACAAAGACAAATTGAACAATAAAATGACTGAATTTCTGGTATTCTGCAAGTACAAATAACACCATGTATACTTGGAGGTCAGTCCTTCAAGATTATCTATTTCCAAAATAAGGATAAGATCTAATTTTTTCTCAGATCAATATGAATCACATGTTTAAAAAATAAAAGAGAGAATGAGGGGCACAAAGATCAAAACCAAAAATCCAGAAAGATAGCATAAATTGAACAACTTCGAAAACCTTAAAAGATTATGGTAATTAGCTGGAAAGTAACAATCTAATGCCTCCAGAAGATCCATGAAGTATCTAAATAAAACATATGAAACAAAAGGCCATAATGTGGTTGATGCATAAACCACATAAACAACATGGTGGTACAATATGTTGTCTGAAATCCGAGACTGCAAATGAGCATAAACCACATAAACAGCATAACAACACAAAATGAGCAGACAATAGTCGATTCTAATATATATAAGGTTGTTAAACATATGTACAAGGATCTATAAGTAACTAGGGTTTTCCAGCATAAGCATATTAAGAAACAGTCAGCTTCATGAAGCATAAGAAAATAGAAAAGCCCGTTCCAATGCAGAGAAAATTGCATCCTACAATTACTCATTATTGATCTGATCTTGGTCATGACTTCTCATTTCAAGGCATCCAGACTGAGCACTGAATTTGGGTTAACTGGTACCCATAAATGGATGACAAAACCCATAAAAAACTAGATCCAGTTGAAAATCATAAGAGAGTTAATATTTAATATGACTTGCTACTCAGACATTAGACACATCATACATAACTCTCACAAATGATGATACACAGTATTCAAAATTTTCAGGCTAAAACCAACCTTGTCCATCATATATTGAAACCTTGTAACAACAAAGCAAAAAACTGTCTTAATAGCATACCATGTGCCTCATCAACCAACTGCTTGAAGTCATCAGGAGTCCCAAATCTACTACTAACAGCAAAAAAATTTGTAACCTGAAATTAAAAATAGACTAAGTGTGTCAAGAAAAACAAATGCAATAGACTATGTAACTGACAAGCATGTTTTTGAGATAAATTACTTGTCACAAACTTGCAATATTACAGATATTAATACTTCCCTAGTACTTCATATGGAACTAAAACTGGATGATATTGTCTCATGATGCCAATTGATCCTGCTGTATCTTAAATCATATGAAGGGACTCATGTAGGTACATGGAAAGTACTCCATAGTATACGACACCATAATTTCACATGAAAACAAGTGAGTAAACATACACCATTTATCTTGTAAACCAAGGTTTTTATTCAACAAGTAGGAGGCACAACACACAAAGAGAATCAGTTTTCCCAATCATCATGGCTAACATACCAAAAATACACATTTTAGAGCTAGTGGCAAAGCAAAAACATACAGGTATTCTTAATTGATCTTACTTCAAAATAAACAGTTACTACTTATAATTTGTTTAAAACTATTGAACACCAAAAATAGTTTATTTGTTAATATACTTAGTAACATTTTGGGGTAAGAGGTGTGCCTCTTTCTCAATTTAAAGGAGTTAAGTTTCTTTAAGAGATCTTAATGAACCAACAAAGTAAATTAAATAGTGCCCGATATAACAAAAATTCTGTAAGGTAATAATATGTTACATAGTGTTAGTATGTAAATTTTTGTACAGAAAAGTAAACATGATACAGAAACATTTAGAATCAAAATAACATAGGTCACTATTCTGCGGATTTAATTATAATCCTGATTCATGGAGTATTCTGATAAGATAATAAAATGGATCCAATTGAGCATGATTCACTAATCATGGAATGCGGTTTTGCCCGGACCAATACTAAACAGGCAGTATGTGCTGATCCGGGCATGAATCTATGTATATGGACCGACCCTGTTTCGAGCAGTTTGTTCCGACCAATAAAAAAAAGAAAAAAAACTATTCACTAGTTTAGAATTGTGTTCATGAGCCCGCTTCCCTACACACGCAGAACCCATGAGGCATTGTTGTTTCCTGTCGCCACACATCAATTTCAGTTATGCTTCCTCCTCTCCTCCTCATCCTCTTCCTCCATCATTTCCTCTTCTTCCTTCTTCATCCTCCTCTTCCACCAATGCCTCCTCTTCCTCCACCGTCTTCTCTTCTTCCTTCCTCATCCTTCGTCTTCTCTTCTTCCTTCCTCATCCTTCCTCCTTCTGCATCCTCTTCCTCCACCGCCATTTGTTCCTTCCTTTTCTCCTTTGGTATGTACTCACATGTTGTATGTCCACACATCGATACCAATCAATACATACCAATCCGGCTAGGAGCCTAGGACCAACACTATTTGATTGGTATGAGACGACAAACATTACTTTTGATCATTAGAGAGAGCAACAGCTAGGGTAGATTATAATCCAATTTAAACAAAGATTTTTTAAGTTATGCTTCCAACATCAAATGTACTCTAACCAATATATAAAGAACTCTATATATTATAACACAAAATAATGAAACACATGGTTTGCAATTTTGTATATCGCTACTATACCAATTACAGCTTGGACCGGTACTTTACCAAATCTATCGAGTGTTGATACAACAATTTTATATATGTACCATGTTTCCAGAAAATCCTAAAAATATTTTAAAATAACTCCTCGGTACAAGGCCTATACCATCCTGTATTGGGTGGTACAGTCCCTATATCAGACACACGTTCAGTGTACCCCGGGAATAGGATGGTACAGGTTTTGTACCGGACAAACTGCCCACCCTGATCTGCATACGGTAAGCTATCAGACCTGTACCATACCGTATCAGGAGGTATCTCAAACCTCAAGAAAACATAATATAACTTAAACTAACACTAATCCATCATTGATTTAATAATATAACTTGATTTAGGTTGTTATCTAGGTCAGCAAATCATTAATTGATCCAATGTGGTTCTAACCAAATAAAGTCTGAAACACAATCTAGATCGACTCCATTGATGTCCTAAAGAGTGTTACCTACTAAATAAGCAAATATATCTTTGCTGATAGGATGTGGGCCCCATTCATATAATTAATATAACTCATTTCTGGTGAAAGCCAGATGGTAATTTCTATGTGCATGCTTTATAGATGTGAAATTTCATTTTTGGGATATATACACTGAAGGGATCAATAGTTTAATCGAAGGAATAAAATATGAAAGTTAAATGTAAATTGTAACTCTATTTCACATTCAGTCAAAAGCTATACTCTTAAGGTAAGAAATTTAGTGTATATAAAAAAGGGTATAAAAGTGATATCAAATGTGTTGAAAATAAAATTTTTGGCATCCCTCTTACTCTCTTTTAAGAGTATATTAGATTTTCTTTTATGGAACCTTCAATTGGCAAGAAAAGGTACAATCTCACAGCTCATACTAACTAATTCATAGTGCCTAAATTTTTCACTTAATTTGCAATTTCTGATCGACATGCCACTATTGCACGAGCTTTATAAATAAAACATTAACTACTAGTACAACTGTACAAGGTTGATTTACTATTACCACTATCTGTCAACTTCTTAAAAATACAATTACAGAAGCATCAGAAGTTGAAACAACCCTCCAACTGATAAAATAAAGGTCCATTTGAATTTCTTCTTTATTCTGTTTTAAAAATGAAGAGCATAAATTAGTTGTTTTTTTACTTTTAAGAAACACTATTCATAGTCTTAATTCTAAATCAAGTGGTCTCTGATCTTAAAGGACACATCTAATGGTCATAAGGAGGAAAGGGAAGCAAAAGAACAACACAGGTAACGATTAAAAACAAATGTAAACATAGTCTACTAGACATGTTTTCTGCAATGGTTTCCCAACCAAACACATTAAGATAAAAGAACCAACAAAATGACTAAAATGGCTCATTTTTACTGCATAATGAATAGAAAGCAGAAACGTTCTTGTTCTGTAAAGAATTTAACATAATATTAACTATTAAGAACCTGAAGAACACAAAACTTAATACTTGGTCAACTTGAGAATAAGCAACTCACTTTGTAACCAACAGAAGAATAGTCCCAATGCTCAACAACCCCAAATAACTGGATAGCATTGTATCCTGCATTTTTCACATGTGGAAGAACCTGAAAGAAAAGGCAAACATGAAATACACGATGAGGCACACTACTTTACTAGGTTTTTACCTTGGAAGTAAACTCATTAAAGGATGATATTTTTGGTTCCGATCCACTTATCCCAACATGGCACTCATATATACGAAGAGACTTTGGAGTTTTGGGCCTCTTATACTTCCACTTGTACATATCCTCTGGAGGAGGTTCCCAATAAACTGCATAAGCTTCTTTTCCATCTGCTTCTGAGAGGTAGTCATCAGTAAGAACAAAGCTAATCCAACCATATCCAGTTAAAATCTGGTATCCCATTGTTTACCACTACAAAATAGGGTTTAGAAAAACATTATGGAAAACTAGAGAACTAATCATCAAGTGTATGTAACCTCTCTGTCTCCAGCCATTTGGGAATTATGGCACAAACTTCAGTTGATGGATAATGCACAATAAATACTGGATGATAACTCTTCTAGAACATCCACCACTATCCAAGATAATAGTATCATCATAACACATCCAAATACCGCAAAATTCTCTAATTGCTAAGTCTATTTGAATATCCTCTTTTCACATTGACTTCCAACTAAGGCCGTATCCAACTTGGATGTAATAGGGTTTCTAGTACTATTAGTTCATTTACAGAAATTTTCACATTCTCATCATCAAGATACCTTTTTTCCAGTTCCAAACTGATCTGCAAAAGATGCTTCATAACTCTGATTAGCTTTTCTGCAAATTAAAGTTTCTAATTTTCTCTTGGTTGGAGTTCAAAACAAAGTTCTTGTGACATACTATAAATCATTTAGTTCAGATCCAGTTCTAACTTTTTGATGACAACAGACGGACAAAGTTACTTTTTGACATCCTACAAATCATGATCCCAGACCCCAAACATGACCATGCAATTCTTTCTTGGAAAGAGTTCATAAGGAGAATGTCAACAGTCAAGGAGCTGCCTCATCCCCAAGCAACAGATAAAACATAGATTTTTAGTGCAAACCTAAAGTCTCTCAAATTAGAGAAATTCCATTTTAGGAAAATAACTTTATGTCAGATAAAGAAGTTAGCCATGATGTAAAGAATCCAGGAAATTTCTGAGTGATGTATCTGTAATAGAAAATGTTATTTACATATTAAGAGCTAAATAAGCACCGAAATACACAATTACTCTGGGGCTTTTGGTTTCTGAAAAGCTAAATGTTTTAAAACAAATTAAACATGTATTTTTGAATATCAGAACACATTTTCAGATGTATGCAACCATCAAAGCCCCTCAATTGTAGGTTAGCCGAAGTAACAAGATCATCTATCAATGCAAATTATATAAGTTTCACACATCAGGTAAAGGTAGAATATTGTTTAGAACACTTGAAAGTATCATGATGGACAAAATGAAGTTTCTGTGAACTAAAAGGTCAGAAATAAACAGAAGGGTAACTCTATGATAGACTAAGAAGCATATGAGTGTACCTGGTAGAACATATGTAGCCCAAGCTGGAACTCTTTCCAATGCTCCATCAGGAGTATTAAAATAAACTTTATACCTACTTCCATGTGAAATAGCGGGCATGTATTTTTTCAACCATGCCTTACGTCCTTTTCGCATTTCTATCCAGTAAGCAAGAGGAGGTTTCTTAGATTTAAATTTCTCTGCTGATACTGGATCACCTTTAACACTGAAGATATCAAACTCCTTCCCATCATCAATGACATCAAAGCGAGGCCTGTCGTTGACATGATCAAATTTTGAGACTTCTTTCCATTGTTTGTAACGTGTTTCAGCATCAAGTATTTCACCTAGTTCTTCATCAGTCTGGGGACTATTGGGGCCAAACATCTGTTCATACAACTTAGAAACCATCTCCATACGTGACTTACGGGGCCAAACCTCTCCAGGTTCCCAATATTCATCATTTATTCTTCTAAGAAGTTCTTCAACATTAATATTACTGTCACCTTTGTCATAATCATCCATATAATTGTACTCTTGAAAGAAATATTCATCTGGTTCTTCACCATCTCTTAGCTTATCTTCAAGAATGATAAACCAATAACCAAAATCATCATGCCCTAAGTGTCCATCTCTTGCACTATTTTCTGTTGCTGACCATCCATTGAAGTCACCAACAAGTGAACAATATCGAGCACCTAAATAAGAATATTTCAACTGACTGTGTACTTACAGCATCACAAATTCATAAATTTGATTCCTATCTAGAGCAACCATTAAATTTAAAGTAATCCTAAGAATGAGGCTTCATCAACTATAAATATAAGATCTTAAATATGAAGGAAAAGTGCAACAAAAAAGTCTTAAATAAAGAATAAGATTCCAACAGCAAGAAGTATGATATAAATAGATTCAAGGCAATGCATTTGTATTTAATTTAAAACCTTAAATAAAGACAGCCAAATACATGAGTGATGATTGAATTAAATAAAAACTATAATCAAATATTGCATCTTATAAATAAACAAGGAAAGAATCATTAGAATATTAAATACCAAAAGAAAGTTACTCCATAATAATGACCAGAAACAGAAGTAAACATAACTCTTTTTACCAAAAATGTGTGCACTAGAAAAGAGGCTAAAACAAAGAAAACATTTCTTGTCTACAGGATTTTTTTTTGGGTCAATGCTGCTTTTCTTTTTATTTCCTTATATGTGATGCAGTGATTTCAAGAGGCGCTCGGGCGCTCGCCTAGGCGCTCGGGCGAGGCGAGGCGAGGCCCGAGCGCCTCGCTTCAACGAGGCGCCGCCTAGGCGCTCGCCCGAGCCCAGGCGCCGGGCGCTTCGGGCGAGCGCCCGGGTTAAACCAGGTGACCGAACCAGTGTTTTACGTCTGGTTCGATCTCCGGTGCTTTAGTTGGTTCAATTGAACCAACTAAATCACCGATAGGCTCCCTCTCACGATTTCCCCGACTTCCCCAACCCTAACACTCGCGATTTTGCCATCGAGATTTCTTCTCCGTTGTCGTTGCTCTCTGCTGCCGCTGCCACTATCGCTACTCACTACTGCCACAATCGTCGCTCATCGTTGTTGTCGCCGCTCGCAGCTCCCGCTCCCACTCCCACACCCGCTACCGCTCATAGCTCCCGCTCACGCTATCGCTCGCCGCTCTCGCTCCCGCTGTCGTTGCCTTAGCAGCCTCGGTCTTCTCACACTCTTCTCACTATATTGTTAACAGTATATTAACAGTTAACTGTATACTAATAATAGTATTTTTATTTATTAGATTAATAATATATTATTTTAATTTTAATACTATTAATTTTTATTTATTTAAAATTATTGTTAGGTTTCAGAATAAATGGCAAGTGTACAGAGCAACTCAATAGATTTGATGTAAAATTTTATTATTTTAATTTTTGAGACTTTTTATTAATATGACATTGTGATTTTGTATTCGATTTTCTTAATTTAATAGCATATTTTTTATTTAAATAATTATATTAATTATATTATATATTTTTATATTTTAGCGCCTCGTTTCGCTCGGACGAGCGCCTAGCGCCTCGGGCCTTTTTGGACCTTAGCGCCTAGCGCTTTTTAAATCACTGATGTGATGATGAACGTATGGCATGATACAGCCAAGGATTAGATGCATCTTGATCATGGCATTGTTCTTCTATAATTCTTACAAGAACCAGAAGCTGCCGTGGAACACTGTTCCAAGGTTCATAACTCTTGCAAGCGTAATAGGAGTTCAAATGTTTCAGCTGTAAAATTTGAAGTATTCTGGCAACAAGAAAATCTTGTAATGACTCTTAAATCAACGTGATAATACCTGGGGCCCACTCCATGTAGTCCACCCGATGCTGCCTATGCCTATGCATGCCCAAAATTTCATACCTATTTTATCAAGCAAGACGTGGGCATATCAGGTGACAGCTCCGCCATAACCAAGTTAAGCCAAATTTGATAAGAAGGAAACTTTTTTCATATAAGGGTACCAAACATCAACAGATCTTGAGAAACACACCCCGAAGCTGACTCCTTCAGATCTATAAACCGAGAGTATAACTCAAATCTGCGGTCCTTCAAGGCCTTGTACCTGGAGACAGCGTCAAGAAACAAGAACGGAGTGAGAAGAGTAACGAGTAAACCCACAGCGGAAGCACAAGGAAAGATGAGGGTCGCAGAGCACCGCTCACGAAGGAACTGAGCAAAACCGCGGTGGGAGATGGCGAACTTGGAGAGAAAGCCAATGGGGTCAACGTCCGGCTCTGATTTCCCGCTTAAGGAACGGCGCGGCGGCTTTCGCTGCCTCTGCTGCGTAGAGGCCGACTTGTCCTTAGGGGTGGAGCAGCACTTCCACTTTCCCTGGGGGCCGGCACGGCTCCTTCCATGGCCATCGCTGCTGCTGAGATGGGACGGAATAGCGAGAAACGTGGGGCGGTGGTTCAGAGGGAGCAGAAAAGTAGTGGTGAGGACGAGAGCGGAGGAGGAGGTCATCGCGGTGGTGGTTCCGAATATGGACGAGACAGAAATCGAGGCGTGTTTGGGTTCTACTACCACCGCAGGCGACGGCCACTCTATTAGGAGGAATAGGGCGTTTGGTGATAAGCCTGCCGCCTCTGTAATAATTTGAAAGAGCGCAAAAATCTCGTTTCCCCAATATATATATATATATATATATATATAATGTGAACTGAATTAAAAATAAATAAATCTTAAGTATAATAAGTAGGGCAAATTGGCATAAAAAGTTCCTATTTTTAAAAAAATTTCAAGTAACACCTCCTTTTTCAAAAAAAATTATAGAATATTTTTTTTAATAAATGATGATATTGTTCCTATCATCGTCTTGTACCATTACACGACGTTAATCCTTGCCTCTTCTCCCCTGTTCCTCTACTATTATCGTTGCCCTCACTTTCATCATCTTCGCCCTCGTGCCTTCTCCTTCTTCACTCACAACACCTCCTCTAAGGTTAGTGATAGTAATGATAGAGACGATGGGTGAAGAGGCAACTCGCGCACCTTTGCTCTTACGTGTAACCCCTTTTGACCCCTTTTGTTAAGGTAATGACGGAGACAATTAGCAAAGGGCAATGCGACTTAGGTGACAAGGGTGCACGAATCACTATCAATGAAATTAGAAAAGGGTAAGACGAGGGTGGCGGCAAACGATAGGATATATTTAACCAGACTATGATTAAAATTTAAAATAAAAAAACCAATTTAGTTGAAACCATTTACTACTTCAAGTTGGTCAATTGTATATGACCTCACCGTTACAATTCATGATATTTAGTAATAATTCCGTTGTCGAGACTTCTTTTTATATATTCCTCCTACAAGATTATTTCCTCATCACTTAGAAACTTGAAATATATTCTTTCTTAACATTTTATGATGTTACTTGATTGAAAAAAAAAAGAAAAAGGCAGAGGTCCTAAATTGTGACATTTGATAAGAACAATGCAAAAAATGGTATCAGAAGAAAAAATTTACCGCATTACGTAGCGAGAATTTATGATGCAAATGTCATATCCTAATAGTTTCCACTGTCAAAGAAGATAAAACTGCATTCCAAACATATTAGCAATATGGAAGAGTGCGAACAAGAAATCATGAGTATTCTAAGTACCTCGTAGCCACACATTGTTCGGTGCCAGACACGAAGACAGCACTCCTGATCATGAATTTTTACTGGTAAATTATTCCCCCGACATTCTAATAGTTAAAAAAGAGATATATTGGTACCAAGAAAAAACCAGTTTTATCGAAACTATTTACCAACAACATATGCATATTGCAAGCCACAAGTTTTCTTGATAAGTTAGAATGCTCGCTCAACACCAAAGACTCACAAACTGAAGCACTACACAATTAAGCAACAGATTTAGCTAGCAAGAGCACGGTTATGTAGCTGAGAATTACTGGCGATTACCTGTAGCAGAAAAGAAAACGTATAGCTACATAGTGAACTAAAGATTTGCTCTGCTGGAAAGAGGAAGGTCACACCGAATACAGAAGAAATTAATAGTCTCTTTTACAACATGTTTTGTGCTTGATGTTCTCATGTTCAGAGTTGATAAATAAAACCATCTAACAATCTGTTGAAAGCATGGAATTTTAGGTCAGGAAAGTATAAGAGAATGCTCACTGGCTTTTGTCCTTCTTTAGGTACTCTCTTGCTCCAAATATCGTCGATCCAATCCGAACATTTGTACTCCCCATTTCAATCTGCAGAGAAACACAAACTATGTCATGCTGGAGTATTCTAGCACAAGAATGGTTTAAAGTCAGATGTAAGTTGACATTTAGTAATGTGCACAGATTCAGTTCAACCAGAGGAACTTCTAAACAAAACTAAATTTGTTAAGTTTCTACAATCATAAACCAAAATGATCCAAGGTAATGGGAAAAAGAGGAAAGAAAAAATCTAAAAAGACTCTAGTTTAACTTGTGGTTCAATTTCCTCAGCCAAGCCCATTCTAACCCTAGTGTCATAATCACAACAATAAATTAGCTCTTATATTTTTGCATCATCTACCATTCTACATTTCTGCTATGACCAATCAACACAACAAATCTTGCTTCTTATTTGCGATAGGCTCTAACCCTATTACTTACAGCTTGCTCAAAGTCGGCAGACATTCCCATAGACAGCTCACACTGCTCTTCTGGTATCCCAAGCTCCTTACACACCTCAGTCCTACAATTTGATAGTGTCTGCTCCCATACAAATATAACTGTTAACAAAAACATGGAAAATAATTGTAGTATGGTCACTTGAAAAAACATTACCTCGAAGTTTTCTGGAGTGGAAGAGTAGTCCAGCATCCCAATTGTCATTAGACCAGCAAAAATGAGGTTTGGGCACCCAAGTTTCACATGCTTCACCAGTTGGACACAATATGAAGGATCAACACCAAATTTTGCTGCAAAATATTGCATAATCTTTCAGTAATCTGCCATATCACCAAGAAAGAGCAAAGAGCATCTAGTTTAGTTCTTTCAATTGTCAAGCATCATTACATGCTGTCAAATATTATTTTTAAACAAGGTTTGGCAAATGGCAACCAAGTTGGATATCCTTAGCTTGTTGGACAATCTCTCAAGCATTTACATATAATCAAACAAATGTCTAATGCCCTATGTTCAAGATAAATATTTCACTGGGTTACTTATCTATCAGATTGCACTGGCAATAAGCATTTAGATATTTGGAATCTTGCTTGTAGGTACTCTAAATATTGAAAATCATTTTAATGGTTTGTACTTTGTAGTCATTTGGTTGACCCGCCAATAATATCAATATTGAATGCAATTGATTGCCAATTTTGTTGTCATATGAGCCCGTGCTGTCTAAGACATTTGAAGACAATAATTTAAGTATATATTACAAACAAAAAGAGAGTGTATATTACAAACAAAAAGAGTATCATAAAAGACAATATAGTCAGAAAGCAACTTATAGCATAAATGCCATGATAAATGCTTATTTTCAAAGAAATGAATGATGTGGCAATGTTATCATGCAAGTAACTTATTTTACTACTGACATTCTTCTCCACTAGTATTCACTTGCACCAAGACCTTCAGAGGCTTCCTTCCCAAGCTAGCAACCATACGATCAAGATGATTAGCAATCTGTAGATTACAAAAAAAGATAGATATTGTTACTTATAGCTAGAGATGATAGAGCTGCAGATATAATGCTAACTCTTCTCTTTCTTTTCTTTACAAAACAAAGTATGGTGGTTTAAATGATTAAATAGCAGAAACATTAATACAGAGAACCGTGGAGCAAAATGGCAGACTTTGCTAATAATTGCCATTTTATTCGATCCTTTATGAACTAGCACATAAAGACATTAAACAAGATGGGGATCAGAAATATTACTCCTTTAAGGGAACCACACTTGTATGAACCTGCACGGTTTCTGTGATACTCTTTTTTCTTTGCGGCTTGTACTTTGAGTTCGATTGAACTGTGATATGTAGATGTTGTGGTCGGTTGACGTGAATCGATAAGATTTAGTGTGTGAAAAGAGATAGAGGAAGATCTAAGAAATTTTAGTACAAATAACAAAAAGAGAGTTGAAGATTCTTGATTTAACTAGAGATATCACCTTATGGTGGAAAAGATCCACACAGTCAACTCCAAATACTTGGGACATTATGGCATGCTTTTTGTTGTTGTTTTTAAATGTCTCTTAAACCTGTAAAAATCCCACCTTGTGTCTGTCTTTGGCACTTAATAGAAACATGGTAATCCAAACATGGAAATCTTGGACTTTTTCTTTGGAAAATATCATGCTTCTTACTTTAGTTGCATATGCATCATGCAAAACAAAGGGTAAAAAGACAATGAATTTGAATTTAAATGAACTACTCATGCAATTGAGTTTACCTTTTCATCATCTACGCTCTCAACCATATCAAGATTTGGAACACCAGCTGCATTATGAACAACAGAGGCTTGCATTCTAAACAATATAAAAAGACACTAAAAAATTAAGACAACAGTAAAATTATGTCACTAGACCATTTTACAGTCCTACAAAATTGCATATCAGATGGGACATAGATATGCGATTCCAACTTACTTTTTTGAGAGTTGGATCAAGATCAACTGTCTTGGCAGTTTCTTGATATGCATGGATAGCCTAATTACATTTTCTTTCATGGAGAACTATCAATGTTGAGAAACAGAAGAATTTTTCAGTGGGATGCACAAAAGTTAATCCAGACATTCCAAATGGTACATTATGAACTTTACTTCCATTAAATGGTAATTTAAAGTAAAATACATAGTACTCATCATTGAACATATTATTGAACTGGTGTTATGCAAAACAAACAAAAGCAACGAGCAAGAAAAAAAAGATCTGTAATATCAATAAAAGTCTCAACAATAGACCATCTCCTATACCTGCAAGAATTTTAAAGAGTTGCTTTTTATGTCAAGATGAATAAGTTGCTAGGGTCATATAAAGGAACAAATCAACTTAAGACAAACTTGATAGTCATTAGAAGAATACCAAGAAGGGATTTCACTTTGTTGCTTTGCAAGTTACCAATGAAATGCCACTCAATGTCCGAAGGAAGCTGAAAAAGGCCAAAAAAAAAAAGGTAAAATTTTACATATAAAAATGATTTTAGCAGAGAATTTTTACAAATGACAGTTGAGGCCCCAAGTTTTTTAATTCAAGTACAAGAAACGGTTCAATATTCGGTGACAATTTTGGCTACTAAAACACTACTAGAAAGCATTTAAACAAGTATCTCATTGACTAAATCCCATAGTCAAGGAATGGTATTGCTAAAACTATTGTCAATATGGGACAACAATCCCAGAATCTGCCATTACGATGTATACTATTTTGTATGTATCTGTCTCATATATCAGAAATATATAGTATACATAGATTGCAAGTCAAAATTGTTCTTAGCTCGAACCAAAGATATTAATTAGTCAATGGAAGAAGCACCCGCACGCATCATGCTCAAAATTCTAGCACTTTAATCTTGATTGCTTCATTGGAAGCTTTGTTTTTATTGTAAAAACCTTCCAGTCTAAGATTATTATTATTATTATTTTTTTGGCAAAGAGTAAGTGAAGAATGCGGGATTCAAACC